TCTTTCCACCTTCCAGCCTGCGCATTGGATTTTTTAGGTGAGACACAGTGTGCACGGAACTGAGCCCACCCTTTAATCCTGAGGTTCATCTGCCGGGGCCAAGCACGCTTGGACGGTGGCAGCGAGGTCCTCAGGACGTAGATGGATTGCCTTATGGGCTAACGAGCTCCATCTGCCCGGGGAGGGGCCTCGACTGGGAATCGAACCCGGGTCTCTGCAGTGACAGTGCAGTGAATTTTCCCCTGGACCACCGGGGGCTCCCTGTGCATTACCATACACAGCATATAAAGCACCTCCTTACAAAACAAAGTGCCAGAGAGAGAGATGCAAAGCAGAAAGTAAAGGTCAGGAGCCTTTTGCATGGTTGTACGCAAAGAATCACATCTTGATTCTTTGGCTTGACTGAATATTTTGTATTTGTTTTTTTTTTTTTTTTTCATATAACAAATTAAGGGCCACAAATAAAAATCAGAGGACAATTTCTTATAGATCCTTTAGAGAGACAGAGCTGTTCCCCAAAGAGCTCTTGGCTCTGGTTCAGGTTAGTAGCATGTTGGTTCCTATAACAGCTCCTTGAATCTCAAAGATTTTGGGGAGATACCAGCAGAAGCTTATAAAACTTAACCTGAATGTTTTCTGGTTTGTTTTTAAAAGAAAGACATACTAGGACGAAGGAAGCAATTTCCCTGTTCTCTCTTTTTACCTTATGAAACAGCTTTACTTTATCTATTTAGTCTTCTTCACTATGCAATAAATTTAAATGTGTGTATTTTTGTTCAGGAAATGGAAAACTATTGGCAGCAGGGTTGGGGTTTTGTTGTTGTTGTTGTTGTTTTGGTGTTTTTGTTTTTTTTTTTTTGGTGGTAGCTGCTAACATATTTATTGTTTGATTTATATGTGTCACTGGAGTCAGGAAATCACTAATCCTCTCACCATCAAGCTGTATGGATAAGTATTGAAATAAATTATACTGATAGGGCAATCAATTCTCTGAATGTTATAATAAAAATCAGAAGGAACTTAACTATGCAGGTGATGGATCTACCAGAATGAGAACAGAAATTTAAGTAGTTCAGAGAAATACTCAATCATGGTAGACTGAAAGAGGTATATAAAACAAGGAAAAGTAGGAAAAAAAGAGCTACATCAGGATTTGGGGTTTTTTTAAATCTCTCATAACACAAGAGAGAACAACCAACCAATATAGAACCAGAATATTTATAAAGAATGAAGCTTTTTCTGAAAGAAAGCGGACTTTTGACAGAGCTTCTAAGTGGCCTGCAGGACTCATTAACCTTCCCGAGCTCAAAAATAATCGGGTCAACAAAAACCATCCCAAATCCTGACACTAAGGAGGCAAAGTAAAAGCAAAACAAAACAGAGAATATAAATTTCACTGGGCCAAAACATAAGCCAACTTCTAATGGAAGGGTTAGGAAGAAAATTCCTACATACAGCAAGGTTATTCGAGGCGTGTCCACTCCAGGGATCCTTACAATTTTCCCTGAGGCACTTGTCCTGGCTATTCTGGGTATGAAGATAATGGCTCAGACATATCTGGGGCCTGATTCTCTATGCAGCTCCATTTATCTGTGTTTACATAATAAAGGAAGGCATTTTAATAGTTACTCCAAAGATTAAAATTATGAAATATTCTGAAAAATTAGCATTACATTCATTGCTATTTCTTTTAGAATCAGGGTTTGTAAACCTAGAGCAGAAAAGAGAAACATTGCACTGAGACAGTAAAAGCATAAAGAAGGAACTTGCCATCTAGCTACTAATAAAATTAAAAGTTTCATAGACTTTCGGGCCAAAGCCCATCAATTATTTAGTCTTGTTACCTGCATAATGTAGGTCACAACCTCCCACTGTAATTAGGCTAAATAGTATCTACTTCTATTTCAGCTCTGTAATAAAATATTTAAGACAACAGTTCTGATTTCAAGACTTGAGGAATGGAGAACAGAACACATGCCCGAGCTGGGGCTTTCCCTCCCTTCCTCGTCCTGAGCTCGGCTTTATTCTGCACTCAACTGCTGCACATTCAGTAATTTTTCCCTGACTGTATTCCATGACAGCACCTGCTGAGCACTTGTACATAACATAACGGTATTTTACAAAACTCTTGGATAAACTAAGCAGACTAGACTCTCTTCTTTCACTTAACTAATTTTTTTCCAGATTTCTTTTGTAGCTTTAATTGGCTTAGTTTGGGGTCTTTTAGGGGTTATGTTGGTACAGCTTCACTGTGTGTGTGTGTGTGTGTGTGTGTGTGTGTGAGTTTTATTCAATGAATAATGCTAAAAATTGATCTTGATAGAGATCCTTCTCTCAGCACAACAGAGAGACTTGTGTAAGGGGCACACAGCAGCAGGTATTATAGGCAACCTTTGGTAAGTGTCCTCACATGCATGTCTGTCTGTCTGCTAAGCAAATATTTAGTTGCCTGCAGAACACAGTGATGTTCTGCGCGCTTTGGTAACAGCTGCAGTGCAACCACGAAACATCACACCCCACCTTACCAGTGTTACTGCAGGGGAATGGCTGGAGTAAGAAAACCCATCAGTTACAACCTTAAGTGACAATGGAATCAGTACTCAACATTGGAATAAACAGAAGCGGGAGAAAATTTACTTGACAGAAGTTATTTCAGCACTGGTTAAATGGCATTATTTCAGCAAATGTTACTGCAGACTTGTGGGCAATTAACAGAGCTTATTTTTAAGACTCTACTCAATATTAAATACTATTTACACCTATTTTTGTTGTTAGTTTTGGCTTAGAACCTTCCTGAAAAAACAACCCCACCCGAGTAATAGGACACAAGGTTCAGCTCTGAAGGCTCTTAAAATTGTGCTTGTCAGGCGAGGTCCTCTAAGTCGTTGGCTGTGGTGTAACAGCAAAGCACTGTACATAAAATGTTCCTCTACTTTTGCCAGCTGCAAGGGAGTATTTAGTCAGAGCAGTGGAAAAAAACCCCA